ACCCTTACTGTGCCGCCTCTGTGGATGTCTGTATGTCTGTCTTGGAGTTGTTCCTTGTGCCCACACACACAGATCTGCCCCCTTCTTTCCAAGAGCTACATATGCTGCATGGTGGAAATGGACCTCAATTTATTTATCTGGGTCCCTCTGGCTGGCCATTAGTTTGTTTTGGAACACTTACTAAACTAATAAATCTTTGCTAACTCAACGAAAATGGTGATTTCATGTAGTTCAGTCTAATACAAATGATGCTGCTGCAAGTGTTTTAGTTAACAAACACATGTGATTCAAATACTATTCTCAATGCTTTATAAGTATTAACTTTAGGCAAAACCTTTTGAAGTAGGTACTCTTATCTTCATTAGCAACCCTATTTTGCAGATGAAGAAGTTGAGGGACAGAAAAATTAAGTAACTTGCCCAAGGCTACACAGCTGATGAGTGGGAGAGAGCCGGGATTTGAACCCTGAGGGGTTTCACAAGAATGAGGATGTGTGTCTGCCTCTCTGTCCCTTGACCTTGGCCATTCATCTTCAGGCTTACCTGCAGTGATGTAGAGGGTGAATTCCTGGAGGTGGTCGTGCATGTTAAGAAGGTGCATTTAAATTCTGCTATTGCCTGAGGGACAAGGAGCTGGGCAGGGAGTGCCCTGTGTATCACTGGCTGAGGGACGTGACCCCCCTCCACCCCCACCCCACCCCCAGCTCTTGCCAATGAGGCAGCTGCAGCTGGTCAGAGCCCAAGAGCCCAGAGCCCACACTGGGCTCTTTGTCTTTGGTGGGAACCCTGCAGCCCCCACGGCCCCTCTCAAGGGCCCACTGTCCCAGCACCGGCAGGGCCTCCCGGGGGCCAGGCCCGGCTGGGAAACTTGGCACATTGGAGGCCCTTTGGCCACTCTGCCAAGTGGACATGCAGAGCCCACTCAGGGATCATTCCTGCTGAAAAGAGGCCGGTGAAGCTGAGGGCTACATCCAATTAGATACAGCCCTCCGGTTGGGGCTGGAGTCCTGGGTCCCAGCCGTGACACTGCACACCCCTTACGACCTAGGCCCAGCTCCTCGTCCTTCCCTCCACCTCAACTCACTGGGCAGCCCTGCTGCTGCTACCACTTAGGAAGGAAACACTTCCTCCCTCCTCGGGCCAATCTCAGCGTGCCTAGGGTTTGCCCCTTGGGACTACTACCAGACTGTCCTGTGAGGAGTGGATGTCCCATGCTGCCCAGGAATCCAGAGCAGAAGGAGCCCAGCCCTGGCTCCAGAGCACCAAACCAAGGGGGTGGTTTTAGGGCCGAGGAGATCATGCTTGCCCTGCTGAGGCTCTGCACTCTGCAAGAGGCTCTTGAGGGTTTCTCCACCCGCCAGAGTGTATGGAGAGGAGAAGGGGTCCAGGGTGCAGCAGAGAGAGGGGCTGGAGGGGGACCCTCCCAGAAGAGAAGTAACTGCTGTGAGCCAAGGTCTGTTTCTTCATGTCTGAAATGAGAAGATTGCTGCGCCCCACTCCCTGCCTGGGTGAGGCAAACTATGGAGCCCTGTACCCAGACCAACCATTTCCCGGGGGAAGACAGAGCTAAATGAGCCCTGGCTCAGGGCCCAGGCGGAACAGTTCCTGAAAGGCTTCTGAAGAAACCCTGCCGCCCTATCCTTGTGCCCTTGGGCGTCCTTCCTCCCTCGTCCCCCAACTGCATCTGTTCCTTGCAGTCCCTTTAAACAGAAAACTCCATAGAAAACCTCAAGGTTCTGGGGTCCTCCCTGACTGCAGGGGTAGGGGGCAGAGTGTTCTGGGAGGGGTGAATGAGTTCTGGGGGCAGGGCCAGTGTCCCATGTCTCTTGACACATATTTGGGGCATTAAAGACAGCTTCCTGTGGGGTGGAGCACTGGACTGTGAGTTGGGTTCAGAGGAAGAGCTCAGAGTGTTTGTTGAGTGAATGCATGACCGGCTCAAAGACTCCAGTTTCCTTCAGAAGGTTGCTGAGTGAATTTTCAAGGAGACTGGATGAATTTCCATGAAGAAGGTGGAGCATCTCCATTCCTGCTCTCTTCTTCCTCACCCGGGCAAAGGGAGGCTCTTGCGGTGGAGGTTGGGGTGGGGCAGGGAATGAGAGTGGGCAGTAGAAGGGCTACTGGGCACTCTGTTCCTTCCTTCACTCATTCAGGAGCAGAGTTCCTGACTCACAGTGCAGCACTCTGGTAGCTGGCATTTATTGAGCATTTACTGTGTGCCAGGCTCGGGTTGAGCACGCTACAAATATGAACTTACTCCATCATCACAAGGGCCCTGGCAGATTAGTTCTATTTTACAGATGAGAAATTCGAGGTACAGTGCAGACCATTGTGACCCTGGGTTCCAAATTCTTGAGCCGGCCCGCTATGAGCTCCCCATCGTGATGGGGGAGGGGGCATATTCGCCGACAGGGCCCGATGGCTCTAGGGGGGATGGAATAGAGAGTTGCCTCCAGAAGAAGGTCTGCAACCGGGTACGCCCTGGTCTGGGAGTGAAGGGTTGGCCTCGTCCTAACCGCTCCCCCTTCCCCCCCACCGCCGAGGCCCCGCCCGCCCCTCCCGCCTCCCCGCCCCGAGGTCCAAGCTCGGAAAGTCCAGCGAAGCCCCCGCCTCCG